ACCGAACCGCCGGTTTTTCGGTTCTAATACCCGAACCGAACCGAACCGAATTTTGAGCCGGTTTCGGATCGGTTCCCCGGTTTAGCCCGAACCGTTCGGAGCTTTAATCACGGGTAATTATAGGAAAATTCTTGAATTTTATCATTAAAATGTGAACTTCCTTTATATTTAATCCAGTATTATGATGATAATTCATAATGAATTGTGTAAGAAGTCTGATCAATTCTGATGTAATACCTTCTGTTACAGCAGCTAAACACTTGTCTTTGCTATTGACATTAGAGAACCAAAGCTCAATTTTATTATTAACTTTTTTTTTTAATATTTGACATATAAATATTTGCAGTTTGAATTTGGTCAATATAATATAAAGTTTTGGTGGTATAATATTTATTTTTTTTGAGCAACTATAATATAATTAGTTATTTTAGTTGATATTGATTTATACTAATATAAATGAATAAACCTCATATGAAAAATAGCTTTACTAGACTGAAGAAAAACCTAATACTGATATTAACATGACATTTCTTAATTGATAATATATATATATGCACAAAACAAAGTTGAATCTTTAAGAATTATTACATAGTATGATATAAATGTTGATAAAGTGATAATAGAATAGGTACTAAATAATCCTTTAAAATAAAGTCAATATTTTTAAAATCATATTATATGTTAATAGAAAATCAGTTGATGAATTTAACTTATAATATTCCTTAATTTAATTATATTGTACTTTTTATCTTAATGATTTTTACTAACTACTTTAATAAAGTTATATTTTTTAAAATGGCATTAATGGATTTAATTCATTGAGTTAACTCAAAATACTTTTAAAATTGTGTATCTTATCCATAATTTATATTAAAAAAAAAGTTTTTTTCAAAATAAAATCAATATGACTCATACTTTATAAACATTTCATTGTATTGGAATTCAAATTAATACTTAAAAAATCTTTAATAAAATTCTGAACTATATTATTATGTAATAAACTTTAGCTTTTTTTTTTATATTTTTATAATATGGTAAATATATAACAAATGATAAGTTTGTAAATAAATAACTTAAACAGACTTTATTTTAAAATTGTTATCAATTTCAACAAATAAACTTAATACCATTTTATATTTATTTGTTTTTATCATATTATTATAAATAACAATATTATGAAATTTAAACTAAAGTTCATTATACTATTTATTTATTATTCAAAAAAAATTAGTAAATTTATTAAATTGTCTTCTAAATGTAATATTGCTATATAATTAAAATTAGAATCTCACTTATTTATAATAAAGGTCACTGTAAAAAATTAGTCCTTTACTAATGATTTTTACCTTACTTTTTTCTTATTAAATTCTATTAGTTAATAAGTTAAAAAAAAAAAAATCATAATAATATAATATAAAATTTCCTTTTATAATAGAATCTGTAAAGAATTTTATATATGATTTTTACCTTAAGTCTAAAAGTAATTTATTTTATAAGTAAGTAGTAGGATTTTTTAAAATCTTCTTTATATTATTTTAAAAATATAGGAATATTATAGCAATATTTAGTGCTCTGAAAAAAACTGATCTGATCTGGATCTGCAGATTTGATCTGAGTCAGATCTGGTTCAGTTTTCAAAATTCTGATCTGTAGATCAGATCAGATTTAAAAAAAATCTGATCCAATCAATTTCGGATCAGATCAGATCATAACACAAGAAAATCTGATCTGATCTGAACAGATTCAGATCAGATTTTTTTTTAAATAAAAAAAAAAAAAATTTTTTTTTTTAAAAAACTTTTCCTGGACAAACGGACGAAGCCGGACGACCAAGATTTAAAAGAACGAACTAGGTAAGTTCGTTT